GTTCTTTTATTTTGAAGATGGTTTAGTCTTATATAAATTTAGATGGTGATAACTAAAGATGAAAATGAAATCTCAAAAATGAAACAAGAAGATACAACTTAAAAATCAAGAGGTGAAATAAAAATGTAGGGAGGAAATGAATCAGCAGGTATGTGTTAAACTTTTTTCCTAAGATCTTCCAAAATTGTTAGTAAAAGTGGGTTTGAAAAGCATTAAAATGGGAAATGAAAAGTTAATGAAGGCACAAAACTACTTGAAGAAAAATATCAACTTTTTCAAATATCATGCTTTTTATAAAAGCTAAAATAAAGTGGATACCTTCAAACACTTTAAAATAATATGAAAAATTATAACAGAGACTGGCAAAATTAAAGCAAATACATTATTTTTTATCAACAGATGGAGGAAATAGGGTCAATATAACGATCTACAAAATGAAAACATTTATCCAAAAATTAACATTTCACAAAACATCAAGAATGAACATATAATGTGTGCAAGGAAATAAATATTAAAAAATAAAATGTGGACTCAACATTTTAAAACAAGGTTTTTTTAAACTAGAAAAATCGAAACAGTATTCTTTTTCTAATAATTAGACAAAGTACAATTCAAGCCAAAGGCATTGAACCTGATAGAATTGCTCCTGAAATTTCTTCTGTCTCCTCCCTTAAATTCCACTTGGTTGGTTCTACCCTAGTTCCTCATTACTTTCTCATTTCTTTTCTTTCTCTCTGGTCATCCAGTGACTGAGTTGTTTTAATTTTACATTCTTGTACCTTTTGAATTCAACTTGTAAATATGTAGATCAATTCAACTTGGCATTTTCTGTTTATCTCTTTTCCAAATTCTGGATGATATCATAATGTTCCAGAAGCCCACAGATTAAAACAAGAAAATGAAGAAGTGGTTAAGAATGTCAATATTATTATATTAAACTTTTTTTTTTTTGCCCAAGATCTCTTTCTCTCTCTTTTACTTTCTTCTCTATTAATTGTATCAATCAATGTCTACTCATCCCTGATATGTCAAGTTGGGAAAACTGTTAAAAGAAAATAATTGCAAAATTCTGGGAAAGCCCATAGGTATAACAGAAACAAAAAGTTGTGACTCTGATATCAGACAATTGCCCTTGTCCCTGTGCTTCCCAGGTGTCCATCCTCTTGTCCAAGTTGCTGGTGGCATAACTGCTGCAACTGACCAGGCATCTTACATACTGTCTTAATGGGAAAACCAACTGTGCTGGAGGCCACAGTCATTTCTAGTCATTGGTCTCTGCTGAAGCCACTAGCACTGCTAAAGCAAAAAGCAGAATGGCTTCCAGTCTTCTTATCTTTTGCCAGAGTCTTTTATTGGCCAATAATACCTAGAATTCCAGAGGCATGGTTATCTGAAAAGTGCTATTCTAAGACTTTCAGGCCCTCACAATACAGATGACACTATATAAGGCAGATTGTGAGGCTTGCAGATGACAGATCAATGTAAGTACACCATCTATTAGTGTATCAGTATCTTCAGTACCCATCTATATAACATGCAGTTAAAAGCTACTCAGCAAAAGCTTAGTCCCTTGTAAGGAATTAATGGTGACTGGTTAATGTTAATTGCATAATTACTTGTTAGTATACAAATTTCTTGCATTATTATACAAAACTAATTAGACTAAAAAATTAGGTAAACATATACAACTGTATACAATATTATATAAAATGTGCAATAATATTCCTGTGAGAAAAACAATTGGCTGACCATCTAATATTAATTGATATGATGATGATTAAGTTTTGTTTTGTTTGGGTCATCTTATTTTTTCTTTATTTTCCACATTTTATACATCAACATATAATAATTTTATAACAAGAACAAATAAACTGAAAGGTAATCAATTGTCTTTATTGATTTACGGCTTTTAATCCACTACCTTATAGAAAAACATGCTGCAAATGCTTAAGTTGTTTAATTTTGTGTTTGTCTCTTTGGAAAAGTACAATGTTATTTGTACAAACATTTTGGTAAAATTACTGAAATAGCCTTGATTGAAGTAATAACAGTTTAGCAATTTATATATTTACTTTTTGAAGTCTCCCTCTTTATATTTTGAGTATTTCTGATATTGAGATCCATTTGAAAATCACTAAATTTAAAAACATATGCTTATTTTTAAGAAAATAGATGCCACAAAATTGGTAGAATAATTTATGACAAGCATGTGTGTGTGTGTGTGTGTGTGTTTGTGTGTATACACTTTTAAGCAATTCCCTATGTAATCAGTGCAAATACAGCATCATTGTCTCTTGCAGTTTATTTTGATGTCTTATGATGAAGAATTTTCTTTAATGAGATGAATTTAATAGTTGATTTGAGGAAGGCAGAAATACTGACTAATCATAACTATAATATTTAGCAGGGATATCTTCATGTCAATTTCTCTAAATGATTGGAATATTGAGTATTTTTCTAATACTTGTAGGATTATTTGAAATGTCATACTTATTTTACTAAAATAGTATCTTCAATAATATAAATCATTGTTAACTTAATGATTGACATATGTACCCAACATGTCATTCCAGCCTTTCAAGTGGCTACATCTGTAATTTGTTTTTTTACATAATATGAAATTTATAACTAGCAGTTGTTCAACATATGATCAGTTTCCAGTTTGAATTTCTTGAATTTTTGACCAGCCATTGCTTTTCTGACATGATTGTTGGGATCCTTATGATTCTTGTATCATAGTCTATTGACCTTCCAGACATGCTGATTTGTGAAAGAGTCAGGCTCATTGTGAATCCCAGGAACTTATGGTGCTAAGTTTCCTACTGATTGTGCTGCAGCAAAAATAATATATTTCCTCTCCTTTATATTCTTCCTACTTTTCTTCTTCAGTTCTGACTTAATTCTTCTCCTCAGGCACTATCACACCTGTTTCTTGTACAGGAGAAAGTCATTTTCTGTAGGAGTGTTCTTTCTCCCTGTGGACCTGTTCCAGGCCATTGGTTCTTTCCTACATTCTGTGCTGTATTTACACTTAGAATCAGTATTTAGTTCTGTGTTTTAGTGTATTTCACTGGCTAAAATCATAGCATGTGAATAAATTGCTTTCTCTCCAATCACAGATCTACTGATTACTGGTTGAGCAGTAACATAAGAGTTTTACATAATATCATAGTCTAAAGTTTTTAATTTGTAGTAAACACCTAATAGTAGTATATGGTATATAGGGTACCTGCGACCTTTAAAATAAAACAAATTTAGCACATTACTTTATTACTGCTCACAACTGTTCTTCAATTAGCAATACTGAAATTTACTGTCCAAACATTTATTTGCCATTGTAAAAGAACTCTGCAATAATTTCAAAACAAAAAAAAAAAGAGAAAACATTATTATTATAATCATCTGTGTTTTGAAAATCCATAAATATTTAATTTTATTATAAAATTATTGTTAATATTTCTGATCATTTTTACATTTGCAAAAATTTAGAAATAAATTCAGCCATCTTAAAATTGAAAACATAACATGCTTAAACCATCAATGAGCTAAATAACAAATAACATAAAATGAAAGTTTAGAAAAATACATAAAGTATCAAAAAGAGAAATAAAATTTCAACTTTTTCAAGTTTTTGTTTCTTATTTATTTTGGGGGAATTGAAACTTACACATCATTTTAATAATTATCTATCTACTTCTAAT